AGTCATCCTTTGAGGACATTTTTAATTCAAATTTGAAAATAGTGACATAGAAGGCATTTATGGGAGTCATATATGGCAGCATCTGTACAGTTGTCAGTTTGAATAAAGGTGGTCAAGGTCTGTGTAGTTATGGAGTTTATGGGCATTTTTGAAGACTTTCAAAACTCAGACTAGGAAGAAATTGGGCTTTGGCCCTTTTACTAATAATTTATGGAAATAAATTCAAATGGAAGACAACGAAAAGGAAGTGGAGTCAAGAGGTTTCTTTCACTCGGGCTATTTTCACGTTACAGAAGGCATGATGGTTGAGCCTTTGGTTCAACCAGCATATATGGCAGCATCTGTACAACTGTCAGTTTGGTTAAAGATTGGTTACCTATGGTCTAAGTCCATGTGGTCATGGATTTGATGGGCCTTTTTGAATACTTCTTAAAGTCAGACCCACAAGAAATTAGGCTTCAGCCCTTTTACTGATAATTAATGGGAAGAAATTCAAATGGAGGAGATCCAGAGGAAGAGGTTGCTTTCAATTGGTCTATTTCCTCTTAAAAAGGCATGATGGTTGAGCATTCTGTTCGAGTTCCACCTAATTCTCTAAGGTGAAGGAACCTTTGAGGAAGATGAGAAGAACAAAAGAGATAGACAATGCACTTGTAGCTAGATCTCTTTCTATGACTATTCACTAGAAGGTACAAAAGCTTAAAATGGTCAAATCTTTGGACGCAACCCAAGGTCTAAAGAAGGTGCCAAAGAATCTACAATTGGGCGAACTGTTTGATGCTTGAGGAGATTGATACAAATATCCAATGGATTGCAAGGCTTTATTTTGTTTTGGATTTCTTGTTTTGCCTTTTCTTCTGTGAAATTATGTTGCTTTTAAGTAATCATTCTAATTTCCTTCAAAGCTGGGTTCATCTTTAATATTCCTAAAGAAAATATGTGGAACTTCCAGCAGTCTCATAATGATTATTAAGAAGCACTTAATTTGTGTCCTAAAAGAAATATAGCTGTATGCACCATATTCCTGGTCAGGCTCGTACTTCCTTTCACGGGCAATCAAGATAACAATATTTATGTGGCACATGCACGTGGACTTGATACAGTGAGTCATATACATATGCAACAAGCGGATCATTCCACAAAGATACTGAAACATGTATTCATTGATTCTGGTTCGCAAACTATAGAAGGGACTGCAATTACTAACGTGAAGAAACTTTCATACAATCTAGGAAGTTACAAAATCTTGCCAAGTCTGCCCATAGTAATCTAACAAATTTGGTAGTAAATGATTTCCTTCATGATTATTATGTCACGAGGCTAGAAATTAAATTTTCATAGATATAAAATGACCTTTGATTAACCTCTCACCTGTGAACCGAATGTTTATGGAACAAACATCTTTCATCAAGTGGAGGCTTAAAGTGTCCAACTTATGTAGTTCCTAGTGAATCAAATGTTTACGAAACCAACATCTTTCACTAAGTGGAGGCTTGAAGTGTCCAACATATGTAGTTCCTAGTGAATTGAATGTTTACAAAAAAAAAAAATTATCATTAAGTAGAGGCTTGAAATGTCCAACATATGTAGTGCAGTGCAGTGCAAATATTTCTGTATTAAAGGCTTGACATGATGAGCAGTGCAGTGCTTCTGATCAGATGGGAGGGTCAACCATGTTTATCAGAAGCTGGTATTCATCAACTAAAATTGACTTGGCTAATATTTTTTGCAGAATTTAAACTTTAAGTAACTTCTGGACATGCAAAAGTATCATTAAAACTTAGCTGGTTTTTGCCACGGTGAAGTGTTGATATTACTAAAGTTGCAGCTTTGTGAAAATATTTTGGCAGAAACGTTATGTTCAATCTTACTATGACACTTCCAGACCACCAAGTCCTTAATCACTTGAAACTTATGGATTACGCATGATTTCATTTCTCCTGTAACTACTAAGCCATCATAATCTACCCAAAAAGAAATAAATGATCGCTCATATGATCATATCCCGAGGTACACTCGGTGATTGCTAAGATGGCAAAGAAACATATTGGCCCGATTTTGTGTACAAACAAGAGGATGTTATTGTTAGAAATTTGCTATCAAAAAATTTATATATGTATATTCCGTAAAGAACTTCCACTAATAACGGTAACTAATTCCCAGAAAATTAAACAAAATACTGCTTGAATTACAAAGAAGAAGATGCACAGCTTACCTGGCAATGAGCAAAGTCGTATCCCATCATCAGAAAATTCAGCCTTCCTCATAATTCTTTCCCACACCATGCCACCAAGCATATCCAGCACTTCTATCACCAGAATGAATAGTGTAGGATAAAAGTGAGAAACAGACGTGTCCATTAGAAGCCTTGTAACCTATAAAAAGCATCCATCAGTAAGATATACAACAGAACACAGATGGAAAATATGTAGTCCAATTTTATTAAATAATCTCTACCATTGGCATTAAAAACTTATACCAGCCAGTGGTCCAGCATGCATCATATGATTAAAAAAACCTTAAAATGATAAATAAATAAAAGATGTAGTTGGACTATTAAAGTCTCCTACCATATCCTGAAGCAGAACTCTATCCATATCATATATAATACAATAAATGTCTAATAGTCTATCTTCCTATGAGTGGTGTTTAAATGTTGATAACAACCAACTTATTGTTGCTAATTTGGAGAGGAGTGGAATCCAAAAGAGAACTGAAACGACAGAGGATTCTTGAGTTCAACTCAAATGTTTGGGAGAAAATAGCTGTTGTATTATGCTAGCAAAATATGGCGCAGGCGTAATTCAACAATGTTGATTGTAAAGCGGAATGTTCCTGAAGTACAGATCATCTGACAATTAAATAAATTAGAAGCAATTTAGCTTTTCCTTAGATCTGTGAAGCATTTAATATGGAGGTCCCACTTAGATGCACCTACTAGTTGATCACAGCCAGCTACTATTATATCAGGAATTTACATTTAGGATTATTTTTTATGTATTGGTCCCTTAAAATATTCTTGTTTTGATATTAATTCCTCAAAAAAATTTCTAATTTTCATTTAGTACCTCAATTCATTTTAAATAATACCAAATTGTTTTCCAGTTACCTTTCCATCCCAATTACAATGAATATTCTTTTAGCTTTAACAGTCTTACCACTTGTTCCCATTATACGCGTGTTATTTGTTAAAAAAATCAATAAACCAACAACCAAATGTTTCATCATCTTAATCCAAGTCAAGTTACCTTTCCACTAAACCAGTCCTAATCTACACACTAATTGAACCTAAATCAAGTCCCAACATAGTCTAGAATTGAACCAACTAGGACCTATAAACAACCCAAAAATCTAGTAAGTCAAAATCCAACAATTCATAATCTTCGTTAAACCATCTTACTCCCTTGACTCAACAACTAAACTCACCTAAAACATATTGAATCCCAATCCAATCTTGGCAAAGGCTCAGTCCAACCTGAACCTAGTCAATCTCCGTCAGCATTCATGCATTCAGAATGAAAATATCCCCCATTATTTTCTCTCTTTACACCTCCAAAACCTCCATTCTTTAACTTTCCAATACCAATCCCCAAATTTAATTTAAGTTCTTGCTAGGACCAGAAGGGCGATCAACGAGTCAAGGCTTAAAGAGTCTCGCAATACAGAGCATTCTTTGCCCACGTTCTACTTACATCCTGTGGGATTCATGGCTTCTCTTGCGAACTTTTATTACTTGGGAGAGTGAGGAGGGTTTTGTGGACACAAACTTTTGGTATAGGAACCTAGGAATCTTAGAATCTTTGAGGAGATAAAGGAACATGTGCGAAGAGGGGAAGAAAAAGGGATTTGATTGAAGGAAAGACAAATTAATTTTTCACCAAAGGTCAATTTGTAATTGACTATCCTACTTAAAAATCAACCTGATTACAATTAGCTAATTTAGACAGAGTACTTAATGAAGGGACTAAGTTTGCATACTTCGACGAATTGCATAGAAATTAATAAATTATAAAGATTCCATGGACCAATATAAAAAAAAGATAATTTATGACCAATATCCAAAAAAAACAACTTAAATATAAATACATCAGTAACTGGCAGCAACAATTTAAACACTAAGGGAATCAATATATATATACAGATCACTGAAACATGCAAACAAGAAAATATGCTCACCTTAATGGATAATTTAAGTGCTTTGACACGATCATCAGCCCTCCAAGACTGGCGTATTTCAGTTTTAAGTTCTTGTAACCGTGAAGCATATTCCTGCCTAGTGACAACTTTTTTCTCCTCCTTTAAAACCATTTCAGGGTCATCAAGTTCTTCTATGTGGACATCTGCTAAAGACTTACCATAATCTGCATTATTTAGGCACCAAATCAAGAACAGTGGTGGAATCTCAGCAAATCATTTGGTTGCAGTAATACAAGGTCATCAGGTTGATACCATACCTCTGCTATGTCTCATGCCAATATCCAACGCCTGCAGATGGAAAAGGGTTCAAAAAAAACTAGAAATGAAATGAGGTGGTAAACAACATCATCCATCAACAGAATGATTCTAAGCATGCACCAAAGTCAAACTACGCTTCACTTATAATATAAACAAAGTAAAACCAATTGTTCCTGAAGCTATTTGTGAAAAACTACATTACAGCTTCAATTTTTGAACCAAAATTGAAACTACGTAAAAAAACACAGTACATGATATTATATAACATTATCAGAATATTTTCTCTTTTTTTTTCTCTTTTGAGAGGATAAACTATATGAATTTGTGTGTTAGAAATCAAAAATACTAGCAATGATATATACTCAAGTTCCATTTGCATCACGTTAAACAACGAGATGCTCCATAACAGTATATATCTAAAACATTTTTTAACATAAGAAACTTACTGCTGAAATAGGTATTTTATTGTTGCTGGAGAACTTTTGCACCAATGAACTGCTAAAAACAGTCCACTCTTTAGATGAGAAAAGACCCGCTTCATTAGAGTGTCTTTTTCTCGATGTGCTATTAAACTGCCATCCATCTGATTCTGCTACATTCTTGGCAATCACTCTCAAAGGATCATCAAATTCAACCTTCTCATTGTGGATAATACTCACCTGTAGTTAAGAACATATACAATGAAGCATGACAATGGAAGTTGAATTGTGTAATACAAAGGATTGCGTTACGGCTCCTTCTGACATATTATCATGGGTAATTTGATATATAAGAAATTTAACCATGTGCCCTGATCAGTAATCTCTTTAACTTCTATTGTAGATAAAAACTTTAATAAAGTAGGTTACTGAGATGGGAAATTCCTCTTAACGCTAAACAATTAAAAGATAAAGATTGATATTGAATGTCATGGAGAAATTTAAGGATATAAATCTAACCAGTCCCACTCCCCATAACTTCATGCCTATGTTGCCAAGATACATTCCATACCTATGTTGCACGGAAACAGGTATGGGTACTGGTACAGGTGCGGTGGTATAGGTGCGGTTACAGTACACAGCAAACTAGTAAAAGGTAGGGTATGGGGACATGGCTATACAAACATGCGCGTGAGCGCGCACACGCACATATATATACATATACATGTACATATACATATACATATACATGTACATGTACATACATATGCATATATAGTCCGTTTATACTTTTACATGAGATCGACATTATTTTTTCGTTCACATGTTATGAGAAATAAAATTCCTATGACATTTTTCTAGTTTTATTATTATGTAAATCATAAATTTAACTCTGCTCATTTTTGAACTAAACGCCCAAACTTAGCCTTTAAAATCATAGTTACGATATGGGTGTAGACTCAAATGAATTCGAACCGTGTCCAACGAGTTTCAGGAACCGGATGTGAAGTGTAATACATGCATCAAAGAATTGTATGATGAGATTCATCAATTAAAACACACAATATATAATGCAGTGCACTTCTGAGTAAATGTATGCATATACTCAAGGAGTTTCCAAGAAATTTCAGTGTCCATTACGCGCACAATACATGTCAGGTACAGTTACAGCTTCAGGATAGAAGTATTCTGTTATGCCTTGTGGAAGCCAAACAATCAAACCAACGTGCTACGAGAAATCAAATCAAACAAACGTCGAGAGAAGGCCAAACGAACCAAATCAATGCCACAAACACAAACAACCAATTTTAACGTGGTTCGGCAAGTTGCCTATGTCAACGGGGCAAGAAGGGGATAGGGTTTTTTACTAATAGAGAAGAAGAGTACAAACTGAGATTACAAATCACTCAAACTCACCAATTAATCTCACCAACAAATCTCTAATTCTCTTCAAACAAAACCCTAACCAATAGCTCAGAAAATACCTTTTTTCTGTGCTCCAAATATCCCAATTTTCTTCTCTATTCTCTCTTCCAATTGTTCTATATATATAGAAATCTTAAAATCATAAACATACTAGGAATTCTAAAACAAAAAACAAAACAGATTAGGAATCTTAATAACCTGTTACCAAAACAGATTTGGAATCATGTTACCAAAACAAATTAGGAATTCCAATAACCTGTTATCAAAACAAATTAGGAAACATATTAGGAACCTGCTATCCAACAATTCTCCACCTCGACGAAGTTTTTCCAAAACTGAGCCGCCAATACCAACCAAACGTCTCACTTGTTGCGTCCAGTACGAAGTGAAACAAATCCACGACAACAGACTCAATCCACAACAAGTCGAGAACCCAAACGAGAATGCGAACAAACTCCAAGTGTCGGTATAAACTCACCAAATCGGCTGCATCATAAATGACTGTCTATGTATCCGCTTGTCCAAGGAATTAAGCATTCACGTAGTTCACCCAAACGGTCTCCAAAGGCCCTCAATCAAATAGAAAAGTTTACAACTCTTCATTAATATCACCCACGGATATGTAACTGATAGCGCTCCCAATGACTCCAAACTGAAATAAATCAAACACCTTCACCTGAGGTGAACCAATGGTCGTACTCAAATCATGTCCACTAACTGCACTCGAATCCAAAACCAACTCATCATCTGCAT